GCGGCGCCCCCTCCCCTGGCCGCTGTGCGCCCTTGCGCCTGGCGCTTGGGTCCTGCGAGATGAAGGTCTAGAAATACACAGCAGCCTCCGACCCCGGCATCAGGCCGTGACCACCGCGTCCCCACGACCCCTCCCCGAGACCAAGCGGGACGGCGGTAGGTGTGGGTGCCCGCTTTCCCCAGCCCCGCCCCGGGTCTTGCTTGCGGTGACTCCCCCCGGCCCTCCCTCCGCAGGCTGCAGCCTCGGAGCTCCCGGAACGATGGTGAAGTTGGGGAACAATTTTGCGGAGAAGGGCACCAAGCAGCCGCTGCTGGAGGATGGCTTCGACACCATTCCCCTGATGACGCCCCTCGATGTCAATCAGCTGCAGTTCCCGCCCCCGGATAAGGTAAGCCCCCCGCCCCTCCACGTTGCCGGGTGCGCACCCCCAAATCTCGCACGGTGGCCGCAACAAAAGAAACGCGCCGCGTGCACTGGATACGCGAAGTGGGGGCGGGCTCGGGAGGCCGAAGGGAGCGCAGCGAGGACAGTGTACCCGCGCGGGATTCTGCCTTAGATGATATCCTAGTCCTGACAGTGGAACGCGGTGGGGCAAGATTCCTTCGCGTTTTTCCTGGGAGCCCCGCAGCTGCCCTGCTCCTCCCTTGCCCCGTGGCCCCAGGGGCTCTGGATCGGGGGTGAGCCTTGGGGCGGACGAGGCTGCCCCTGTACCTTCCCGGGTGTGGCAGTTTTAGCCCGACTTGCCCCACCGAGGCGGGGGAGCGTTCTCCTTGGTCAGATGGCCCCTCCCCAGGGCTGAATTGTTCTCGCCCTTTCTGCCTGCCCCTGCCAGGCTGGCGCTAGGTGCAGGAGGGTGTGCGCGCTCACACAGGGTCTCCTTCCTCTTTGTTCCTTTTGTGAAATCTGCAAATAAGTGCCTGGGCTCGCTCAGTATTGGTGTCACTGGGAACAACCATTCATCCACCTTTCCCCAAAGTGTTTTCTGCTGAATTTAAAGAATCTCCTCTTTTTGAATATAGCATCCAATTAAGTAGTTTCTATTTGCTAAGAATAATATTTCCAGGAGTTAAGACTTGAAAATGTAAATAGATCTTTGCATGTCTAGGCAATTGTACTGTAAAACTCATATCTAAGACCGTAGACACAGCATCTGTTCTCAGCATCTTGCTGCCGCTTACAAACCACCGCAGCCACGAATAATTCCCGGAAGTGCTTTTCTATTTATTTTCTCATTTAGTCCCTGGTAAAGGGGCTCTGAGTCAGGGCTCTGCCTTCCTTCCAGCAAGTTGGTGATTGCTGGCGGGGCGGGTGTTGTGGGGTGGGGGTGTCCCGGTGGGGGCCCTAACCCCTGTGAAGGTGTCCTCCCAGCTTTATTGTGTGTGTTATCGGGGGAGGGAGGCAGGAGCGGAAGAGGCTGGCAGCAGGGGTTTCAGTTCAAGAAAGGGGGATCAACTGGCCACACCTGTGCCCCCCAGGCCACGGTGATGCCACTCTGGGCCACTGATGGTCCAGGCTAGGCTTTGCAGGAGGGTCAGGGTTGCCTGAGGCCTCAGCTTTCGCTCCACCCCTCCCTGTCTAGGCATCAGACTTGTCCAGTTAGCATTGCCTGGCCCCGAGGCCCCCACGCCCCCTCCTGCCTCGGCCCCCAGCTGCTTGGCTGAGGAGCAGTGGCGCCTGTGCCAGGAACTCCGTGTCCTGAGGCAGCACCTCTATCAGGTGATTCCCCTCACTTGGCCTGAGCCTCCTCTCTCATCCTGGGTCTGTTCCATTCCAGAACCATTTGGCAGGGTTGGTATATACAGGGAGGAGGGTTTCAGGCAGGTATGAAATCCTCACCCACTAATCAGGTCGACCAGGCGTAGCTTAGGCAGCTGGAAAAGGGATGAGTGTCCTCTCTCTGCAAGTGTCCAAAGGGGGGCAACCAGTCTCAGGTCCAGCCGGGACTTCCAGCCAGGACTGAGTGTGGGTACAGGGCTATGGCTTTGGGATCATTTTCCAGATGGCTTCTAAGGTCACAATGAGGAAACTGAGCCTCGGAGCATTTATGGGACATGCCCAAGGTCACTGGGCTGAAGGTTACAGTCCTCCAGGATGCAGAAGTTTCTGGCGGTGCCTCTTACTCCACCCTGCTTGGAGCCAGATGTCGCTCATGTAGGACCTCTCTTAACCTGAACAACAGCAACGTGTTGCTAACAGTCAGAGTTCAGGGAGGCGATGTCACCTGTTCCAGGTGACATGGCTTCTGAGGGGTGGTGACACAGTTGGACTGTAAACAAGAATCTGTTCTGAGAACGTGTATGGAGTGCTGAGGTGCTGGAGGGGCAGCGGTGACAGCAGTCACAGTGCTGGCAGCAGAGTGGTCTCCCCTCACATTTGCTGGACGCTTATTCTGCACCAGGAACTATTCTGCCGGTTTAAATTCTATTTTTAGGTTTATTACAGGTTTAAATTCTTTTGATGCGTTGACATGTCATGAGGTCACTACCAACGTTACCCCCATTTTGCAGGTGTGGAAATGCAGGCACAGAGAGTTTGAGAATTGCCCGAGGTAACCTAGCCTGTTCGTGGCAGGTGCAGATAGAACCCAGGTCGACAGAATATGAATGCGGCCCCCACACAGGGTGGAGGTTTCTGTGGGTTTCCTTGTCCTCAGCAGTAGCCTTGTTCCCATTCATTGGCCAGTCTAGGCCTGCGTGCTCAAGGTCACATGGCTAGTTGGGTCCAGTTGGGGTTTAAGAATGACAAGGTGGCACCCAACCACTGCCTCAAGAAATGGGTGCCTCACAGGGGTGGGTGCCCAGGCCAGCCCATGCCAGGCACCCCCTCCCTCTCCATCACAGGAGCACTGGGTGGAAAAGGAGTTGGGGTCCGGGGGCCAAGAGTGTGGTTACAAGGTTTGTGGCTCTTGGGATCATTTTTCAGTGACACCTGGAATGGGCTCTGCTGTTCTTTCTCCCCAAGGCTGGCTTTGGGGGTCACAGTGCCGGCTGAGAGGCCCTCTGGCTGCCCGCCGGGGGCTGACCATCCCCAGTTGCTGGGGTCTCTTTGTTCTGCCCTGGGCCCCACCATCGTGGAGATGGTGACAGATCGCCCAATGAAGGCAGCCTTGTCCCTCGAGGGAGAAGAGCTTGGAGGTGGCTGACTGTCTCTAGTGCAACAGCCTCTCCTGGAACCTGGCTTGGGGAATGAAGTTTGGGGATTAGAGACCTATAACGCCTTGACACTGCTCCTGAACACCTCCCAGTCCAGTGGGACAGAGAAGTAAACAGTCCCTGGCAACGGGTGTGGGGAGTGATGAAGGCAGCGCCGCTGAGGCCAGGGTTGTGAGTGTCCCGGGTGGGGAGGCTTCCTGGGTCCATCTGAAGCTGCTCGAGTGTAGGGAGATGCAAGGGCTGGTTTCCAGGTTGGACAAACATCCTTCTGCCTCACAGTAGGGGGTGGAGGGGAATGAGAGCAGGGAGACCCTTTGGGGGCTGTGGCAGGGGCAGAGGGAGAGGAGGATGTTGGGGTGGAGACAAACAGGTTGATCCTGGATCTGTTTCCTGACAGGCTGGCGACCAGCTTCTCCAGCCAGTCCTGGAGGGCTGTGGACAGTGACCTCAGACCTCCTCTTCTTGTGCCCATGGTGGCACAGCAAGGCCAGTGAAAAAGCAGGTGCAGTCTCCCAGCTTCCTGGGCCAAGCCAGGCTTCGGCTCTGGTGGGTGAAAGGAGCACTGGGTTAGGAGTCAGATGCCAGGCTGCATCCCTGCCCTGCCGCCTATGAGCTGCGTGACCTTGGCCGATGAGCTTACCTTCTGTGGCCCTCGGTTATAATGTTTCCCTCCTGCGACTGCTATCAGGATTATTAATGGGACATTTCTCTGAAAGTCCTGGCACAGAGGAGATTTCCAAAAAGTAGTGGCTGTTCCCGTTCTTCTTGTGGATTTCTTCCTGGCCAATGGTGACTTCGAATGTGGGATCTCCCAGACCCACCCTCTTTGGGCAGATCGTCTGAATGCATCTGACTTTTGTTTCTCTGTTTCCTGGATAAGGTGGTGGTGAAAACTAAGACCGAGTATGAACCTGAGCGCAAGAAAGGGAAAGCACGTCCTCCCCAAATTGCTGAGTTCACCGTCAGCATCACGGAGGGTGTCACCGAGAGGTTTAAGGTGAGTGGTCCTGTGGTGGGGGAGATGCTGCTGTTGCCCCCAGAAGGGGTCCGCTGAGCTGCAGAGATGCCCTGCAGAGAGGCCCAGGGTATGATGCTGTTTGTTTGGGCTGATCCCAGCTGTGCACACCCAGTAGCTTCTGGCTACCTGCCAAGATGTTGTCCTTGTGCTTTTTGAACATTTCTTTCTTCCTTTCCTCTTCCAAAATGGTCACAGGGAAAACCCACCCACGAACTGTGTTTTAGACAAAGGTTATAAACATATGAAAAATCACTTACCAAACATTAAAATATTTACTTAACAGTTCCAGGAAGGAAGCAGACAATAACAAAAAGAGAACGCACAGCGCTGATCACATGCCCGACGGGGGTCCCAGCCCTTTACCTAGTGAGCTCATCTGAGCAACCCTCCTGGCACACCAGTACTGTCCGTATAACCCATTTTACTGATGGAGAGGTTGAGGCACAGAGTGGTCACAGCTCTACACAGCAGAGCCAGGATCCCATCTGCAGGGGATCTGGCTTTGGGCCTGTGTGTATCCTCCATCCTTCCCCCTATCCCGATGGGATGAAGGGGTGCCGCTCAGAGCGGGAGGGTTCCAGCCCGTCTGGGTGGGAGGAGCGTTCTTGCCAGCCTGGCTGCCTTCAGAGGCTGCGTTGGTTGAAGAACAAGCTGGGATGTTTATCAGGAAACTCATTCTTTCGGAAACATGAGGGAGAGGGTAAAGCAGTAGCCTCATCCAGATTCAAGGCGGTGAATTGAGAGACATCGGTGGGCCCCAGGCCTTGCAGAGCGGCCCTATCTGGCTCTCTGGTCACCCTCCACTTGACCGCATGAGCAGTTTGCTTGTGCTGGGGGCACAGGAACTCCCACCCCCAACCCCTGCAGTTTCCAGAGCACCTGTGGGTATGGCATCATCTTTGATCTCTGTGACAACCTTGTGGATCACAGAAGGCGGGACTGGGGGCCATCCCTGGTTACCAGATGAAGCTGGAGCCACAGAGGGACTGGGGAAGCCAGGGCGTAATCTGACTTTCAGTCCCTCCTTCTTCCTGTTGCCACACACTGCCTGTCAGGGCCTGCCTGGTCCAGCGGGTCCTGTGAGTATTGCTGTGGGGCGATTACTTGTGTCAGCTCAGCGAATCCTCCCAGCAGCCCTCTGCCTGCTACCTACTAATAGTAGGTACTATTTGTATTACTGGTATTACGGATGGGGAAGTCGAGGCACAGAGCAGTCTGTGTCTGTCCCTGCTGGTATGTAAGGATGTCGTGTGTGCTGAGAGGCTCTTTTGGTGGCTCCTGGCTCAGCCGTTCATATGTGTTTGAGGTTCATGGCCAGGGCCAAGACATACTGACCCGAGGTCAAACCTGTCTTCTGCGCTGGCCAGTGGGATTAGCGTGTGCCTTATCTGCTGCCACTCACCTGTCCTGCCCCATCTGCACCCTGGGTTTGGCTGCTACCCCTGGTTGAGGCAGGAGTGGCCTTGATTTCAAGGTCACGGTGCCCTCTGTCCTGATGGCTAAACGCTGTCTGATGTCTGAGTGTGTCTGGGTTTCTCAGGCCCGCCTTGCCCTTTGCTTCCCCAGCCCCGGCATTTTAGATCCCCACAGAGCAGGGCGCAGTGTGACACTTGAACAGCTATTGCTTCATCTGTTGAGTGTCTATGGTGTGCCAGGCTCTGTCCCCGACCTCTGGTGTTCTTCATTTGTACTTTTCCCACATGACCACCTGAAACAGGTCCCCAGGTCTCTTGCCTAAGGAATGGGTGACGCAAATTTGCCACCAGGGCCCTTGACAGCCATGGCTGGGACTCTGTGGTTACCCGGCCCCTGTTGCCCAGAACCTGAAGGCTCAGAAGACCATGGGTGATTGTGCTTGTCCCAATAGACTGGCTGCTGGCCGCAGAGGCCCTGCCTCGTCTCCCTGCCTCCACCTCCTGTGGCTGTCTGAGAAGGCGATGTATGCAGTAGGTGCTGAGTACATGACTGTCCTGGACTAAGTCCACTGGGTGTGTTCCTCTGCTTAGTTTTCCTGACTTCCTTTATGATTCACAACCGCCCTGAAGGGGGTGGCACTGGCCCCTTCACACATAAGGCTGTTGAGCCCCAGGTGGCCCCAGGGCGGCTGGGTGCTCCCTCTGGAACTCTGTGGCTTCAAAGCCAAGCCTTCCCACCATCCCTTCCCATTCCCGTGGGATGCCTGCTGCTTCCCAGACCCCATCCCTTCCATCTCCTCCCAGGATAGGTTCAGATCACACCTCTGCCGGGAAGCCTCCTAGGTCCCTCTCAGTTGCAACAAACCTCAGCGTCCTGTTTCCAGTGCCCTTTGTAGCCAGGCCGCGACAGCATGTAACAGTGACGGAGTGCTGCATGAGCTGGACTCTGCTTCGCACTCCTATGCTCATATTACCTCATTTAATCTTCATAAACACCTCAGGAAGTAGCCTCATAGCTCCATTTTACATAGAGGGGAAACTGAGGCAGACAGCCTTGGCTGCCTGCTCTCGGCTGTGGCACCAGAGCTCCTTGGCTTCTTGGAGAAGTGGGTTTGCGTGGGAGCCCTCACCCCAGGCGCCATCGCTGTTGAGCCATTCGGCTTCTACAAATCCTTTTCCTTTGTTGATTCAAAACCCTTGCTCTGCTGCCTAGAGCCACACAGAATGTGCGGCCCTCCTTCCCCAGCCCCAAGGCCTTCAGAGACCTGGCAGGCTCAGGTGTCCCGGAAGCCTCCCCAGTGTACCGCTTCTTTTTCTCATGTTTCTTCCTGAGTCCTGGTTTCCAGACTCCCTTCCCCTAGGTGTCCTCTTTTGAGGGTCTGGGTTTGGGCTGTCTTCTCTTTGGGTGCAAAACCTGTGACCAGATGTGTCCTGGCAAAGTCCATTGGTGTGGCCCTTCCAGGCATAGGCCCCTCAGCCTGAACGGGTGACCTGAGGAGGGGAACAAGGCCATAGAGACCCCCTGAGCCAAGAATGTCAGCCAAAAATGAAGGCTTCGGGACTCTTTGTGCAGACAGAACTTACTCATCAGCTGCTCCGTGCCAGCCACGGTAAGAGCTCCTTGATATCATCTCCCTGGCGCTTCTTGCACGCACAGTAACAGCTTGATAAGTAAATGGATGACTAATCGTGCTGCTGGCCTCCCGTGAATGGGGGACTTGGCAAGATTTCCTGGGTCTGCCTGTGGGTCCTTGCTTGTTGACTAAGTTCAGTGGCAGCTCGTCGGATTGAGCCCTCTCTCGGGGCCATGCTTGCATGGAAGCCTCTAACAGGTGATGCCTGCCACTTATCACCAAGTCAGACAGGTGACCTGCGCAAGGCCACACAGTCAGTCAGTGGCAGAGGCACAGTAGGAGCTGGGCAGGAGGCTCTAGAAGCCTGTTGCTGTGGCATACTTCAGCCAACTAGCTTGTCCAGGAAGCCTGCAGACTGGACTTTTGCAGCTGAACAACTTGCATTCTAAGGGCGTCTCTTCCCTGTGCCTGCTCCAAGCCCCTTCTCAACTGGGAAGGAGATTTACCTAACTCCCTGCCCACTTGTTGTGGGGTGGATGTAAGAGGCAACCTCCAAAGTGCTGTTTCCCCAGTGTATCTGGATCTACCTGTCAGCATCAGCTGAAGTTTGATTTTAACACAGGGACCCTGAAGCCCAGGGTGATGCGTTTTAACAAATGCTTTCCAGGTGATCCTAATGTATCCCAAGTTTTTGAACCTTCTCGATGGTAGTCCATTCTGGCACAGAAGCCGGGAAGGGTGAGGAGGGCTGGTGCCTTTTGGGAATGCTAAGGGTGCCTACCTTTCTGGAATGTTCTCCCAGCTTTTTATTGTCCAGGTGGATTTCTGGCATCCCTGAACGTGTGCACACAACGAGTCGTGCTGCTGTTGTGTGAAGCTGCAGCTGGTTGAGGGCTGGGGGTCTCTCTTTCTGAAACGGGAGCACATGGGGAGCAGGCTATGCTGGAGACACGGGCATGATGGAGGGTCCAGAATAGAGATCTGCCTTCCCTGGCTTGTGTGCCCCCCTGCCAGGGCCCAGTCGAAGCTGTGGTTGGGACAGAGCATCTTCCTCGTCCCGCTAGTGACTGGACAGCTTCTGTGCAGCTCCCTGGCCCAGCCATCATCTTAGCTCTTTCATCTCCGTGCGTGAATCGCAGGAATGGAATCTCACCTTTCTGACGTTGAAGCGATAGGTAAATCGTTTGTTCCCTCCTGTCTCTAATTTGTGTAGCTCAGGAGACCTCATCTTTATAGGCCTTTGGATGGCATCCTTGAAACGGAGTGTCTTTTTGGATGCAGCTTTCTGATTGTCACTTGGGGATTAATCTCTTGGCTGTGAGGTTGCTAGGCTGGTTGCTAGGTAACTGCTGACTGGGAGAAGGTTCTGAGAGACTCTGCCACACAGGATGGCAGGAGGACTCCCCCAGCGGCGGCCAGCAGCTTGGGCTTCCAAAGAGGTTCTTGTCAACAAGGAAAGCAGTCGCTTAATTAATTGGAGGCATATTTACGCTGAGAATAAACACTGGCTGAGATGTTTCTCAAATTAACCAAACCTAAACATTTTTGAAATTGTACTTCCCCACTGATGCCTGCAGAACGGCGGGTCGGGGCTGCTGGAGCCGCTGCTTGCGGTTCTCCTTCTGATCTGGAGACAGTCATTAGGGACCGTCATTAGGCAGGTGACAGGAAGGCTCCCTCAGGGCCCACTGCAGCCCTTTGTGCTTCTTGGTGCTGGTGATGACTGGCTGCTGACACTGAGAGGTCTCCACACCCTGTTTGCCTGTGATGTGAGTTCAGGGTTGGGTGGTCCAGCCTTGCCCCTCACCGGCTACCATGTCACCCTGGGGCCGTGAGAGGTTCCAAGGTTGGCTTTGCACAGGAACACCTTTCACTGCCAGGGCAGAGCTGGGGAGCATATTGGCAGGAGAGACCTTGTCCGTCTGTGTGGTCCTCGTGGTTGGCAGTCCAGACTCTGGTGGGGGTGTCCCTCTGTGTCCTGTCGCAGAGG